AGAATTTACATTCTTTAGGCTGGTTCATGTCCTCCTAAATGGTGCCAAGACTTTATACCATTTGGGACTGTAATAAGTGGTTAATACCTTCATCCTGTATTTGCTGTTGCTAACTAAGGTGAGACACAAATCAGTTTTATCCAGGGAAATCATTTGATGCAGATCACGAGGAAATAATTGTTGCTCAGCGTGGCCTTTTTTTACCTGGCTGAGGTGGGTGTTCATTTGCTCATGTGCAACATCTTGGAGGCTCTCTAATGCCAAGATATTTCCTGAGGATGTACAAGATAAGATGAGTCAAAACAGAGTTATGTTATAGTTCATGAATGTCTGGATACTCATTTTCAGCTTTTGCTGAGAGCAAACTCTGAGTTACTTCCTTTTTGTGGCATTTTCATCCTTATTTCCCATCAGCTCTTGAAAGGGTGCATCGACAGCAACATTTATTTCACTTGCCCTGACTTGTGTTAAGGGTTAAAAAATGTAGGATTATTCTAGTTCAGAGGCAGTTGTATCATCCACAACTATCTTTGACTGTTCAAACCTTCAAATATTAGGGAGTCTTTGATCATACAGTGAAATTACACAGGATATAACATCAAAAGTTGACAAAAAATTTCATAACCTTTTTGAAACACCATCAAGGTAATATTTTAGTTTCCAAGGAGCTTGTTCCTTCCTGTTTTCTTCTCCCATGTGCAAGTCTGTAAGTGATAGATGTTCTCAGCAGCAACAGCACGAGGAGCAAAGAAGGGCAGGTTCCTGCTGTGGCCTGTGTTGGGCAGGAGAATAAAACTGGACATGTAGATAATTATCATTTATCTTCCTGATGTTACTTAAGATGTTACAGACTAATGAACTGTTTTCCTTCTTTATTTTTTTTTTTCCCAGGGGATGAATTAACTAAAATGGAGAATGAAGACGAGCAGGGTTGGTGCAAAGGACGCCTGGACAACGGACAAGTGGGGTTATACCCAGCAAACTACGTGGAACCCATCCAGTGACAAAGGACAGAATAAACACAGAGGTGTTCCCAAAGCTCTGCAGGCCTGTACAGTGTATTTAGTTCCAGTGAGAGGAAGCTGAATGATGTATAGAGTGTATATATTTTAAAGGAAAAGGCGAGAGCTTGAGGCAGAAATAATGCTGAATCAAAGGCAAAAAGCCTGAACCAATCATCTGACATTGCTTTCACAACTTGTGCACAATGCAAAGGAAAAGGGGTTAGGTGGAAAAAAATAGTATGATAGGAAAAATACTTTTTAAGCTTTCTCTTCCCACATGGTCTGTCGTTGTGGATTCTTAAACATTTTTTGCATTTTCTATGCTTGTGCCTCATCCTACCTTGGGTATGTGGCTTGTGCTCACTTTTGTTTAATCAGTTATTTTAAGTGACCTTCAGTAACTTGCAACTTGAATTTTCAAAGATTATTATAGGTAATTTTTTATTTGTCCTTATCAATGTCTGAAAGATGCAGTATTTTTTTATTTAAATGCCATGTAGTTAAGCACCTTTTTTTGTATGCCTGGATTTATCAATGAATACTTAAATTATGACATAGATTTAGTCACCAGCTGACTGAATGAAAACTCCTTCCATGTTGTAGTAATCCTTCCGTGTCGTCAGCATGGCTTTGAAGTTGTAAATGGAGTTGTAAAACAAAATACTGTATTTAATAAATATCTGTTACAGAAGGTTATTTGTAGCAGAGGTATCTGCAGGTGTCATGGGTTGGGACTCTGTTATGAATGTTCTTCACTGTGGGTTGACACTTAAACTAAGAGTTTTTCCATCTGGATCTTAAATGGCATTCAAAAGAAAGGTAAATTATGCATAAGCCCCGGAGTGGTAACCATTTCCAGCACATGTTTGCAGGGGACAACAAAAAATAATAATAATTAAAAAAAAAGTCCTTTAAACTGCTAATGATTTTTGGGTGATCTGAAATGTTAAATCTGTGAAGGGTAATTTTCTTGAAGAGAGAAGACTGTAAAATAGACTTAAATGCTTTTATTAAGAGCCTATCTATGTTGTGTATATGTACATATGATTTGATATTCCAGAGTATAAAGAGCATGGCTGTTAGTTATCGAGCCTTTGGATGTCAATAAGATTTAGAACTGTTTTAAGAGTTTAAATTATAGGTATATTTAAATCTGCTTTCCTGCCATATCCGTTACTGTACAATAGACAAAGCATCCTGTGATTAGACTTGTCAGAAGTACAGTAAAAAAAATGCGCCAATATACTCAAAATCAGTATTTGTGGATAAATGAATGGGTCAGAATATAAAGTAGCTTTAGTCCATGTGTGGATTATCGTAGCAGAACACTGTAAAAAATCGACATTTGCAGATACAACTTGGCCAGCTGTAATCGTGTCAAATAAGTAGCCATTTGTGACACTCAAAGCTGGGGTGTAAAATTCCAGCAGATTTGTGTTAAAATAAGTATCAGGTAAGTAGAGATGCTCTGTTAGGAAGCTACACTGTAATGAAGCTGACAAAGCTTTCTCAAGGTAAACTATAAAACACTGTTTATTAGTCTTGGACCTTGCTTTTTGAGCTTATTTAGGATATATTTAGTCCTCATTTCCAATGAATCAAAGCGTGCAGGCTGAGGAAGTGGATGTTTGTACACGTCTGTCAAGGAAAACTTGCCACTGTTCATCCACAGGACGGTCAGGAATTACTGGTCTGGGTTCTCTGTATTGTCAAATATTTTAGAAAACAATAAAATCTGTTAATCTCCTGAATACACAGAATGCACCTTTGGCTATTTCAGTGTGGTGTCAAAACAGTCTC